ACTCTCACTACATCCCAGGGAGTAAGTAGGGTCTAGAGTCCCCTCTTACAGATGGAGAGTGGAGGCACAGACCAGTGGAGGGACTTGCTCAAGGTCCCATGGCTTGATAGTGATGAAACCAGGACCAGAGACCAGAGCTCTCAACTCCCAACTCAGTATTTTCAGCTTTCCTCTTGCCATAGGGATGAAAGGATGCCAAGAGCTCAAACATGTCTAGCCAGATTCTACACAGAAAATATATAAAGGAAAGATAATCCATATTTATTGAGGAAGAATCATTTCTAGAGATCTTAAGGAGTTCTAATATGTTTGAACATATTTAATAAAACTATTTTGAACACATAATATGGTCCACTCATGTGTATTCATACATGCCTGGTATTCCCAGCACATATTAGGTACTCAATAGATTTGTTCAATGGAGTAAACATTTCAGGTTTCAGAAGAAACTTAATCTTTATTTTTTTTATGAATTAAAAACAGAGTACCCAATACGGTTTCCAAATCTCTATGGAAGTCTTAAGTGTGGTACAGCAAAAGAAAGCATCTGTTTATGTGAACCTAGATAGGTACTGGTTTCCAAATCTTAAAGTAATTCCAACTGAGAAAAGTAGGTTAGAGGGAAGAACACACAACATGTAAGTTTAGAACAGTAAATCCTAGCAAAAATGCTATCCTTGCTCCCTTCTTCCACCCCTTCACCATGGCAGGCATTACTAATAGATCATGGCACTATTTCCTGCCGATCCTGGGCAGAGCCTCAAGAGTCCTCAAACACCTTGCTCCAGGCAACTACCATTAATCCATCAGAATTGACACTCATGCTGAAATCTATTTGTCATCCCTGATAGACTTAAAGGCTTTTTCTCCCCTGTGGCCTAAGGGGGATCAAGAACCAGCTCAAGCTGTTTGTACATCTCCGACTTTGCCAAGAGGATGGGTGGGTACAATCCATAAAACAGTTCTTTGGGACTACTCTGATTTGGTGTAAATTTTATTGAAGAATTGCTGCTTTTAGTTACAGAATCTCTGAATGGGTGACTGCGTGAGGCTGTGAAATTTCTTAGACAGCTTATAAATAAGCGAGATCTCTGTTGGTCCACTATTATTGGGCATAGCCCTGCTCAAAAATAACCAAAAGAAAATAACCTCTAGCAATGATTTCTTTATTTTATTTTATTTTATTTTTTGGAGAGGTTTTTGCTATAGGGTGCGTGTGCTCGCCAGACGGACAGAGAGAGACAGAGAGATAGAAAGTGAGAAATCACCCCCCAGGGGGGATGGCCACACCTCAATCCCTTCTCCTCCATTCTCCTCTCGGAATCTTGAGCACGCACACACACGCACCCGGCGTGTGTCCAAGCCACCGAGTCTGGGACGCGAACCGTGGTCAACTATGTGGGAGTCCAGCGACATAGCCATTACGCTAACTGCTGGTCCCTAGCAATGATTTCTGATCCTCTCACTGGGCTTTCCACCCAGTCATGGGTAATTATGGCATCTCTGAAACAAATTTATGTATGTTTGAAGGTTCAAAGAGCCTTCAGCTCAAAATGTTACAACAGAACTTGGAAGCGTCTTTTGCCTACAACTGAGGGATGTGACATGTCCATTTTAATGTATTTTCTGAAATATACATTTGTAGCATATGATAAATTTCAAACTAAAACTCTTTTTTGTAACCATGAATTATATAATCCTTGATATGCTCCCATAGCGAAGCCTTACAAAATGCCACAGCACAATCAACTCCTAGAATGGAGACACTGATTAAAATGAAATCAAAGCCTTATCTTGTCAGTAACGGATGTTCTAAGGGAAGACAGTTAAAGGACAGTAAAGCCATCTACCATGGTTAGACTATGTGTTACTTTCACATGTGTCATTTTAAATACCTTCATTCAGGATTCTCAAATTCATCTAAATTTCCTGAGCAGGAACTACCTAAAAAAAGATGTTTTCGTTAAAGCTATTAAGCAACGTGAGAAGAGTCCTACACTGAAAGCTTGGCCTGGAAGGGTCGGCAGCACGTTAACATGAGACGCCTCTCTAAGAAAAGGAAAAGCATCTCAGGGGTTCTTGTTCAAAAGAGTGGCCTGAAGAATTCAACTGACTCCATGTTACTTAGAAAATATACAGGTAAGGGACCAGAGGTGGCATAGTGGTTAAGGCACTGGATTCGATGTGGCCAATTGCTGTTCGAGTCCCAGACCCAGCAGCTTGAAACTCATGCTTAGCACATGTACATGCATACCCAAAATCCCAATAGGAGAATGGAGGACAAGGGATTGCTAGGTGGCCATCCCCTCGGGGTGGTGGTGGTGGTGGGGGGTGATGGCTCACTTTCTGTCTCTCTGACCAACAAACACACCCTATAATAAAAATATCTCTCTCTCTCAAAAAAAAAAAAAGGGAATTAGGAAATAGATAAGTAGTAGGAAGAGGGAAGTGTTGCTTAATAGAACTATTTAATTCTTTAATTTTAAATATCATATCTTGGATAAAAAATGTTAAGTATAAAACAATTATGAATGAAAAAGAAACAGCTACCCAACCATCTTAAGTGATTTTTAAAATAAGTAATATTTTTTAGGTTATCCTTTTGTCTGATAAAGAGTGAGAGGAAGTTAGTTGGGCAGAGAGGTGATCATTTTGAACAACTGATGTAAATGGTGCTTTTGAAAGCAGGTAGAGAATAAAAATGTAAAGACACTGAAAATGAAGAATTTGATCCAAATAAATAAGCCTGCAACATCATTGTTTCACATCCCTTCCAGGAGGGTATGCCAAACTTAAGCAATATCAACGCTGAAACCAAACAAGAAAGATCTGACCCTAAGGCAGAAAACCTTTCCGGGAGAAGGGGTGGGAGTTTTAAAGGAGTAAACAGTGAGAGGATTTGCTTTTTAAATACCATACATATTCAGTAGATTTCCTAGAATGCTAGGAATCTCCACGAACCCTGACAAGGAAAAAACTGTACTTCGAACATAAATTATATTAAACGTTTATGTGGTTGGGCCCGCAGGAGGCAAGATGCTTAAGGTGCTGAATCCTACACGTCGACTCCACAGTTCGAGTCCTAGACCTGGCAGCTTGAAAAATAAGCTGGGCCAGTTGCCTGTGTGTGCGTGCCCAAAATCCTGGGAGGAGAATGAAAGAGAAGGGATTGGAGTGTGGCCATCCCCCCTGGGGGTTGATTTCTCACTTTCCCGCTCCCTGTGTCTCTGTCTCTCTCTAGCAAGCATACATACACTATTGCAAAAAAGAAAAAAAAAAGTTAATGAGGCCAAATCATATGTAAATGAAATCTTTAATATTTACCAGTTTTTGAATGCTTACATGCCAGGCACATTTCTAAGCTTTTCCCCATGCTCATCCCCACAGCAGCCCTGTGAGGTCAATGCTCATCGCATCATTTGTCCAAAGTCAGTAAGTGACAGGGTGGGGATTTGAACTTAAAGACCATGATCTTCCTCATCATACTTTACTCCTCGGAGCATGTTTATGGTCTTTTGTTTTATTCTACTTTAGAAAAGAAGAAGGGAACCACGCTAGTTCCCTCTGCCTTTAAGCTGGTATAGGAGGAAATTTTCCAGCAAAGTCTTCTAAACACAGACCACACAACTCGATAGTTCTGGTTTTCACAGATTTAGTGCAAAATGAAACTAAGCCATCCAGATGTCCTTGGGAAGACTGTATAAACAGAGCCTCATTTAATCAAAACCAATTCCATTTTTAATGTCTGAAGTGAGGCACGCTAGTAATGTAGATCACGAGGAGCCTTACATCATTTCGAAGTTGGTAAAAAAAAGTGCAGAGTCCTATTGTCGGGCGAGATCTTTAAAACATGATGCCAAAGGCCTGGAAAATCAAGTGCCTAGATCCGATCATCTTGGTCCCTTGTAAAATTTCAGATTCATATTCTCCCTAGATGTTTCTCTGTTGCGCTGCCGTCTAGCCCATACCTGCCGGAAGTTTTTCTTCTGTCAACACCCAACATATGAACATTTCAGTGACTGTAGCACGGTGAGGGTTCATAATGGAAATGCAGGGCACGTGCACATGGGCACACACACTCAGACACACCAGACAGGTAGGGACCGGTACCGTGAGGATGCCTGTTTGTGTGGTTGGTTTACATATTATTAAACCACCCATCTGATCTCTAATGGCAGCCCTGCTGACACTGCCTGACCCAGTTTGACAATCTGGGTAGAAATTGTAGGGTTGGCTGGTCAATGACTGTGACTTTTAACAGCACTGCTTTTGGGCCTCAAATCAATTCTCTCTGTTTACAGACCATTTCACAGCCCTTTACCTGCAACATCACTTGTGTCAGTCCCATAAATACTTTGGTGTATATAATGCTTGAATTAGCATAATGGTGTAGGCTCTAAGCTCTTAGCCCAAAGAAGGACATGTCAACATGTTCTCTTCACTTAAGCAATTAAGAGCCATTATGCTGCTTCAGTGGAAATATCATCAAGGTTAAAGACAATCCCAAACAGCCCTCTCACCTTTTTATTCTAAGTCTAATAAATGAGGCATAGAAATTGAAATGTTAGTAAACAGTCCTACTTGCAAGCTCTTTTTGAATCATGTTTAATCAGACCCCCACTCACCAGACATTTATAACAGATTCAGAAATGTGGACATTGAATTGTTCATCTAGTGCAAGAAAATAGAGTTTACTGATTTCATTACAGACAGAGTAAGCATTGATCTATCTCTGCCAGATTAAAAAAAAAAAATTTCCATTAAGTTACAGTAAAAATATTTCTTATTAATATGACAAAAGTTACATTTTTAAAGGTGGTCATTTCTGCTGTGCTTTTTAAACAAACGGGGTATTTTTCATGCCTTTCCATATTACTTTTTCTTTTTTTTTTTAAAATCCGCTTCATTGAGGTATAATTACATCTAATAAAATTCAATTTTCAGGGCACAGTGTGATGAGGTTGGGCAAATGTATGTAGTGCATAATTAGTATTATACATATGATGTGGACTATTCTCTTAGCCTAAAAATGTTTCTTTATGTGCCTTCTCCCACCCCTGGGAACCAATGATCTGCTTTTGATCACCAGATCTGCCTTTTCTAGAATGTCATCTAAATAGAATCAGACATTATCGAGTCTCTTGTGTTTGGCTTTCTGATTCGTGATGCCTTTTCCTCTGTGTGTTAGCATGAGAAGGATGGATTAGTGATGCTGCGTGACACACAATGTGGGTGTGACCTGGCTCCATTTCTAACTTGATGACCTTGAGCAAGTTACTTAGACTCTCTGGGCCTTAGTTTCCTTGTCCGTAGAATGGAGAGAATACCTTCATGGGCAGGGAGGGGCATAAATACATCTATGTGTATATGCTTAGATAAGGCATCCAGAAAACACTTGATAAATCTTAGTTCCTTAGACTCGTCATTCTCTCTCCAGTTGCTTAGCTTTTTTCACCGTTGCTCACTATGGTTCTTATTACTGTGTCCAAGTCCAAAAATATTGAAAAATCTGGTAGAGATAGATCAATGCTTGCTGTGACTTTGATTAAAGCAGTAAACTCTGTTTTCTTGCATTAGATGAACAATTCAATATCCATGTTTCTGAATCTGTTTGTATATGTCTGGTGAGTGAGGGTCTGATTAAACAATACAAAAGGAGCTTGCAGGTAGGACTGCCAAAAAGCACAAAAGAAATTCTTCAGATTCTGAAAATATTCTATACCTCAGTTGTAATGGTAACTGCACAACTATATACATTTGTCAGAACTCTTCAAGCTGTACACTAAAAATGGAGCTTTATTACCTGTAAATTATATTACAGTATAGCTTAGTTTTTAAAAAATCTAAAAATAATAAAGGACTATGGAAAGACCTTGGAAATATCCCTTGGTTTTAAAGTGGCATGTGGAATGAGAGAGAACTTGGACTCGGGGCTTCATCATCAGAGCATGCTGCTTTGGTCAAATAAGGGAGTCTTCAAAGCCTTCCCTAAGAACAACAGATCTAACGAGGTTATCAAAAGCCCTACAAGCTGCAAATGTTATCTTTATTTTTTAAATTATGTATTTATTTTAATTTGAGCAGAGAGAGAGAGAGAGAAAGAGAGAGAGAGAAAGTGGGAAAGCAAGCCACCAGGTCTGGGACTTGAACCATAATCGGCCATGTAGGAGTCCAGCACCCTTAACCACCATGCCACCTACTGGCCCCCAAATGTTATCTTTACAAATCATTGTCTTTATGTTGACTTTTTAAGTTTTGGAAAGTAGTTGTGGGGGGAAAAAATAATGAAAGGGAGAAAGAACGAAAGAAAGAGAATGCAGTTGTACAAGGGAGCATATACAATGTGAGAGGGCCAGCAGATGGCGTAGAGGTTAAGGAGGCTGGATTCCACATGGTCAACTGTGAGGTTCAAGTTCTGGACCCAGCTGCCAGAAAAACACGCTGGTTGTGTGTGCATATGTACCCAAAAATCCCGAAAAGAGAAGAAGAAATTGTGGCACCGTTATTGTGTGTATAAGAGAAAGCGAGAGGGACAGACATGGTATTGGCCATATTGAACTAATAGCTCCAAAATGTCATAGTATAGAAAACATATCATAAAATCTGAGCTCAAACGGTTAATTGAAGTACCATTTTCTTTGCGACATTGTCCCCAGCTCTCACCAATATCCTAGTGCCCATTCTGCATTAGGTGCCCCTTCTCTATGGTCTGATATGACTCTGTACCATCCTTAGTCACAGCTCTTATCACATGCATTTCAATGTTCCTTAGTAGGAGCTCAATGAATGTTGGATGAATGAAAATCTTAATCACATTGCCTTCATTCATAACGCAATAAAAACATTCACTGCAGGCTTGCTTTCTTTTTCTTTTTCTTTTCTTTTCTTTCTTTCTTTTTTTTTTTTTTTTGAGAGGTTTTTGCTATAAGGGTGCATGCGGTCGCCAGATAGACAGAGAGAGACAGAGAGACAGAAAGCAAGAAATCACCCACCAGGGGGGATGGCTACACCACAATCCCTCCATTCTCCTCTCAGGATCTTGGGCACGCACACGCGCCTGGCGTGAATTTAAACCACCGGGTCTGGGACTCGAACCATGGTCAACTACATGGGAGTCCAGCAACATAGCCATTACGCTAACTGCTGATCCCAACCACAGGTTTTCTTTTACGGTGATTTGGTTCCAATGTAGACGAGGATCTGAAGTAATAGGGGAGCCACTAAACAGCATGAAAACATAACTAACAAGGAGCAGATAAGTGGAGAGGGAGCACTTAAGAGTCTTTTCACCTCAGAATCTCTTGTTTGGGCAAATGGTACCACAGGAGTTCTGAGTCTGGGTTCCAGAGCCAGAGGACCTAGGTTACATTCTTACATTCCAGCCTGGCCCAACTCTGCAACCTCGGACTAGTGACTAAACCTTCCTGAGCTTCAACTCACCTGTGACTTTGCTCGTCTTCTATAATACAGACGAAACAACAGTTGTCTCCTTCACAAATTCTGTGAGGGGCAAATAAGATGGCATGTATAAAGGGTCAGTAGGGTGCCTAGACACTGTAAACATGTGAAAAGTGTTCATTTTCTAGTATGATTCAAGAGTGCACTCTCGGGACCAGCAGTTGGCGTAATGGTTATGTCACTGGACTCCCATGTAGCCGACTGCAGTTTGAGTCCCAGACCCGGTGGCTTAAACTCATGCTGGGCGCATGTGCATGTGTGCCCAAGATCCCGAGAAGAGAATGGAGGGGAAGGGATTGCGGTGTGGCTAACCGCCCCCTCCCAGGGGGGGGCGGTGATTTCTTACTTCTGTCTCTCTGTCTCTCTCTGTCTTTCTGGCAAGCTCACGTACCCTATGGCTAACCCCCCCTCCCGGGGGGGCGGTGATTTCTTACTTCTGTCTCTCTGTCTCTCTCTTTCTTTCTGGCAAGCTCACGTACACTATAGCAAAAACCTCCCCCCGCCAAAAAAAAAAAAAAAAAAAATAGAGTGCACTCTCTGGAGTCAAACAGGATAGGTTTCAATTTGAGCTCATTCCATTTCAACCCCTGTTGTCAAAGTGAGCCTAGACAGATCACGTTCAACATCAAGTTCCCACAGCATAAAGTGAGGTTACCAACAGTACCTACTCCCTCATAAAGTTATTTTGAGGATTAAATGAGATAAGGAGCACAGCATAGTGGCAGGTGCATAGTAAGTGCTCAATAAAGCCTAGTCTGATAGACTCTAGCCCTGTGACCTGTAAGTCTGGCCCCTCAGCAAGAACCCTTCACTTCTATCAAGCATATTCCCTCGTTCATCTTTATGTGCCATGCTCAATCCTCTGTTGCTAATTTATTTTTGCTATAGCTACCATAGAGCAGTGAGGTCAAACCCCCTGGGTTCTAAATCTGGCTCTCCCAATTTCCTAACTGCGTACGAGTCACATAGCCTCCCCAGGGAGGCGACAGTTCCCCCTTCACCGTCTTACTGCAAAGATTGAATGGGGTATGTGTAATGTACGCACAGTGTATTCTGCTGAGTCATGTTTACTTTCCAGTCCACCATAGTCTCCCAGGCAGGCACACTCACTCTCTCCTCCCTACCTACCCAGATATCTTCTACCCTTCAAGACACACCTAAAAATCCTACCTCATCCTGGAAGGTGTCTCTGAGCACACAGACCCACCTTTATCTTATACCCGTATTACATATGCCTGTTTCATTTTGTGTATTCTGTAAATTAGCCGTGTTCTCTCCTGCTAGGTCAATTAATCTTAACCTCTTTTGAATCAAGGACTCCTCTAATAATCTGATATCCCTGTGACTCTCCAAAGTTAAACAAAAATTAGCAAATAATTTCAAGATGCTAATATCCCTTGAAATGCCTGACACAAGATTGCAGTCTCCTTGAGCGCAGGGACTGTGTAATGCTCTTTGTTCTTTGTGTCTTCCGGGGGCTGAGGATGTAGAAGGGGTTAGTAAAGACTAGCTAACAGACTGGTGAGCCTCTGACTCAGGAGGTGAGAAGTGGGGGCACCTCTGCAGAAGAGGGTAGGATGCTAACCACTGCAGAGGTAAGAAACTAACAGCCTTTGCTTTTTCCAGTGCACAGCAACTTGAAGCTACATTCTGATGCCTAGGAAGGAAACAAATATTGGAGCAGTGAGTAGAAATATGGAAAACTAATCAAGGAAATACTCTGTCTCTGTGCCATAAATATGTACAGTCCCCAGAAACTAAAAGTGCCCCCTCTCCTCTTTTCTTCAGACCCAGATCCATAACTCTTCCCTGGGTTTTGCAGCCTCTTAGGCCTCCCTTAAGGTGTGGGTTGCTTGATTTGACTATACTTCCATTTAATTGTTTATGATAAAACTATTGTCTCTGCTCGTGCAAACTTCTTTGATTTTGGTCATCCTGTCTGTCATCCTCACTCTCACAAAAGAGTAGTCACACATGGAATGAAAGCAGAAAGAGCCCCAAGCTGAATGCTAACCATGGCATCAAGTACCTGGCTTTGTGACCTGGGGTAAGGTCACCTGTCCTTGAGCTCAGTGTCCTTCCTCTCAGTACTTGGCAATCTCTCCCTGTCTTAACCTGTATGCTCTTGAGACATTGCAATGACCTGGGGTTGGAGCGACAAAACTTTCCAGAAGCTTCACTGCCATCCACAATAAATGTATGTAGAATGGCTGGAAGGGATGGGTTTTACTGGTTTCATTGCTAGATTAAATAAGAGCTGCCACATTTACCATACAAAGCTTTCTAAACAATCCTACAAAACAATACTATGCAACAACTAATATAAGCTTTATTTCTTTCAGGATTCAAAAACCTCATGGGCTTTGTATCCACTGTTCAAAGCTACAAAAGGAAAATCCAAAGTTTCGTGCTTTTGGGTTGTGATATTTTGGAAAAATAGGAGTGGTTGGTCTAACCAAAGTGAAACTGCATCTTTTTAAAATTTTATTTTATTTATTTATTTTGAGAGAGAGAGATTTTTGCTATAGGGTGCTTGTACTCACTAGAGAGACAGAAAGCAGGAAATCAGCCCCCAAGCAGGGATGCAATCCCTTCTCCTCCATTCTCCTCTCGGGATTTTGGGCATGCATGCACACATGCCCAGCATGAGTTTTAAGCTGCCAGATACAGGACTTGAACTTAGGTTGACTACATGGGAGTCCAGAAACATAACAATTACACCATCTGCTGGTCTTGAAAACTGCATCTTTAGGTCACAAGGTGGATTCTTACTACGGGACTTGTTACATTGCCAATGAATAAAGTGAATGGTGCCATAAAGGCTTTGCTTCCTATGACATAAGCTGTTTGTCAGAAAATGATCACCGAAACATCGGAACATTCTGACATTCTAGTAACACTATCAGCCTACAACGAAAGCAGAGCCATCTATGACCAGCCAGTTTCTAATTTTATTCTGCCCACTCAGACTACACAAAGGAAAAAAGATGATAAATAGCCAGAGAGATTTTCTTGACATCGTGCTTAACTGAAATTTCAAAATAAATCAGTTGGGCTCGTTTTTAAAGACCTACAACTAAATTATCATTGGGTCGTTTTGTGCTGCTCCCCACCGGGTTTCTGAGGGACTAGTGGTGAGATACAGCGAGATCTGAAATGGGCCACGGTACGCAAACATTGCAGTGGGCTTTGATTTAGTCCAACTCTCGTGTAATAACTTTCTTTGAAGTGTGGGTTGAGGAGCAGGTTAGGAGCCCGAGGCCACAAGCTCATCTTGTTCTTGTTACAACTCGGATGCCCTGCAGTCCCCGCACTATATATCAGAGGCTTGGCACTGGCGTCCCTGGGCTGATCAAGAGTGGAGCCCTCATTCCCTGCACAGCACACCCATGGAGAGACAAACAACAACATGGTCCTGTTTGCTTGGGAAATCCTAATCGGTAACAAGAAAAAACAGGTGGGTCTTTGAGGCACCTGTGAGTCAGAAGAAACCTGATGTTTCTCTTAAGACAAGGAAAAGAGGTTAAAAAAATAATCTACCGTGTAGAAGGCTGACGGTTTCCCTGACCTAGGGAGAAGCAAGACCGCTGTCTGACCGTTGGCTGGCCCCTCTCCCGCTCCAGCTTTGGAATTGCTGCTTCTGTGCAGATCCTCTGACCCAAGCAAATCTCAAGTGATGAATAAGGCAAACCCTGCTCCTCTCTGGCCTGATTTTTCATTGGCAAAATGAGGGGGGTTGGACCAAGTGATCTCTTAGGCCCCATCCTGCTCTAAAATTGGGTGATTCTGACCCTGTGACAGTCTTGCAGCCCCCAAGGGACTAACCTTCGTTCTGACATTGGTCACATATTTTCAGCAGCCTGAATCAGACTCTTCGAGTTAAGTTGGAGCATGGGCCATTCTAGTAAATAATAATACCTGTCCAGTTCCTTAGAATTTGTAAAATGATTTTACATACAGTATTTCATTGGCTCCTTAACAAAATCCTTTAAGGAAGAAGAAAGTAGTAAGCTTCTCATTTTATAGAGAAGGGAAGCTGCATTAAGGGAGACTAAGTCAGTACTATTAAAAAGAAAAAGGGTTCCATAGCCAGATATGAGGAGGGAAAAACGACAACAAATGCAAGTCTCTTAGGATGAATGAAGCACACGTTTTAGAAGGGAGATGTAACGAGTATTGCAGATGGGACCCGAGAACATTCTGGTAGCAGAGCCCCCAGTGAGAATTCTGTTAGTGTCAAGGGGCAATAGTCCAGTTGGAACTAATGCTCACTTCTGGGACAAAGACTCTTGGTCAAAAACAGGAGATGAGGATGGTCTTCAAATCCTCATGCCCAGAAAAAAGAGAACTAAGAAAGAAAGGGGGATTCACCTTAAGGTGGTGGAAGGTGGCCAGTTCAGGCCAGAAACACTGATGGCAGGCTGGTGAGAAGTGACCAGTTGAGGTGTTACACTCTGGGCATTGAGTACTGACTCTATCGAGTGCCAGGCCCTCAGGAGGGTTATGGATGTTGCTTATAACTTACATTGTCTTTTGGCCCAGACTTAATGGAACCTTGGGAAGTGTTAGGGAGCCTGGGAAAAAACTAAAGGTGAAATAAATGTAACACCGAGAGTGCTTTAAAACACACACACAAGGTAAGGCCTTATGTGACATATAATTAAAGAGCTGAAATTCTTAGGGGTGGAGGATTTCCCTTCTGAGTGTAGGGCCTGCTGGAGCAGAGTAGCGGATGACCCGATGGCTGCAAGCTAACAGGAATGATAACCACGTCAGCAATAGCATGGGCATGAGTGGAGAAGTAGCAAGCCCAACGCCATATCCAAGTTAGTCCACCTCTGAGTCAGGGCAGGCATGAGAGCAGGATGACTGAGGCCAAGGGGTCATGGCGTGTGGGTCATATCAGCGGGAAAACCATGAATTGAAGTTCCCCAGTTACTCTGAGGTAACTCAGTTACTCTCGGGATTCGCAAAAGGTTGAGACAAGAAAGAAATATGAAGATGAAAATTAAGAAAGTATTCAGTGGCCAGCCTATGTACAG